AAAGCCAAGATGCCGAGTAGGTTTTCGGGATGACAACGACAGCAAGGAGCAGCAAAAAAAGAACGAGAGAAAGAAGAGCGATTTTACGGGGTATCTTTCTTTTTTTTTTTCTTCTTTATCTTCTCTATATACACCCACTTTGACAACTAAGTCATACAAAACCAAAAAAGAAAAAAAATAAGAACGACTTAATACAAATAGGGCGTTGGCTTGTTGACGTCGATTAGAGGCAACTGTACAGGTGAATAAGTTTCTCATTAATTACATAAAATCATCACTTAAAAAAGCAATCAATCTATGTAGATTCGTATGTCACTGTCTATTTTTTTTGTTGAAGACCCAGTTTTATGAAATGTATGCATTTCTTGTCTATAAACTATTGTCGATCAAAACAAAATTGGCAGGGGAGTAGAAAAAAAGAACGAACGAGAAAAAGAACGTACTTATACGCGCTGTGCTCTTCTTCATGACTGTAGTGTATAGTAAATAGAAGAAAGAAAGAAAGAAAGACAGAATTATTTTACATACAATGCACGTTTTGAGAAATAGAATATGTGCAGAAGTTTTTCTTTTTAAACCAAAAGTTATATATATGTATGTATATATATATACATGGACGATGTCCATCTTAGATATTCTTGCCCTTTTTTTGTTCTTCTCAAACAACTAGACAATATATAGAAGCAGAAAAAAAGATTAGACTCAGTAACAAACGGACGGACGAAAGGAAAAGAAAGAAGAAATATCGTTTGTTCGTTTGTTCGTCGCTCATATCGGTATAAGACCACCAAGACAGAAAGGATTGCTTTGTACATATATACATATATATACATCGAGAAATCTTCTGTCTATCTCGTGTGTTTTCCTTCTTCAGGAAAAATTCAAAACGATTGTACATCTAAAATTATTTTTCAGAAACTTGAGCTGTGTATATTCATTCTTATGTTGACTATCTATTAATCATCGAATTAAATCAGCATCAATGTCTACGGTAAGATTTCTTTTCATTAGATATTGATTTATTTTCTATTATTCAATTTTAACTTTTAGAAATCATTTATTTCACAATGGAATATCGATGCTGTTATTGCTTGGCTTCACGAATCAAATTTAGGTGCATACGAAAAAGTCTTTCGAGGTATAGATAATTTCTTATAATACATTAAAAATAATTCATTTCTTTAGACAATGAAATTGATGGATCAATATTACTTAAACTCAGTGAATCAATGGTTGCTCGGTTATTTCCAACTATAAAACTTGAAGTACAATTTCTTGATTTATTACAAACAATTAAACAACGACATACAATTGAATTAAATTCAAAAAAAACATTACCTTCATCTTCTACGTTACTAAATGGACGTGCTGCGACAACACAACAAATAGCAGCAGCACATGTTATAGCATCATCGTCTTTTGATCATGGTAATAGTCATTCATCAAATTCAAATTCTCCAACAGCTACAAATGGTCATCATCATCCATCGAAAGTAACATATTCTGAACGTTCAATAATCCCTAAAACAGCACTACCATTGAAAACTCTTAAACGTGAACCAAAAAATTTTCCATATCAATTAACTAAGTACGTATTCCATTTGATAAAAAGTCGAATCATTTATTTTATTATCACTTTTCTTTCTAGTGCTCAAGCTAATGGAAATTCAAATATGGATGGAAATGAGAATGATACAAAACATACCTTCCCTCATGTATATAAATTACCTCAATTTACTGAAACACTCCGTTTAGCATTGGCATCACAAGATGCAAGTGCCTTTAAATTACGTACATATTATCGAAATTTATTAATCTCATCTATTTATGATGATCTCACACGATCGTATAATCTTTGGTATGTAAAAAAACTATTTATATTTATTAGATTAGAAAATGTCTGTTTATTTTAGGTATCCGAATGCTCGTCAATATAAGACAGTTGCCTCAGCACTTGTTAAATCTTATCCATTTCTTGAAACATCCACCGAAGGCGGCGAGGTAAGTCGTTATTTCATTTGCAAAAAAATTCTTCAATTCATTTTTTATTTAAGGGTGCATGGATTGATGGTATTAAAGGTAAATTCAAACGTGGCCGTCGTACAATAACATCATATGTTGATGCAGCACAATCAATGAATGCTGAGAATGGTTATGATCGTATGTCCGGTGATGAAGAATTAGGTGAAGAAAAATTAGCACAAACATCCGGTGGACAAAAACGATCACGACATGAATTCGAAGTTGATTCTGATGATGGACAATATGAATCAGGTGAAATGCCAATCAATGGTAATGGAAAAGATACTGTATGTTTACTTCTTTCATTTTTTAAATACAAATATAACGAAAATTGCTTTTTGTTAAGGATCAAACAAGTGAAAATAATGATGATATAGATGAAGACGAATTAAATCGTTTACGAACTTGTATAACAGCTATGCAAGAAACATTAGCAACAACAGATGATCCAGATATCTCACTTATATCAGATTATTTTAAAGAAACATTTGAAATTCGTCGTACTTTTGTTAAAACACATAATACAAATGAAATTCTTACTGAATATCCTGCATTACAATTACATTCATGCGTATGTGTTATCCAAAAATTCATTTTAATATAAAATTTTGTTTTTTTTGTTATTATTATTTAGTTACTCGCTGATTTTCATATGCAAACAAATATACCTATTCAAACAGTATTAATACATAAACTGCGTTCAATATCAAAACCAATATTACGACTAGCAAAAGAAACTGGTTGCGCACCAGAAATTCTTCATTCATATCATACTATTCTTTCACAACGACCACAATTAGAACAAAGTAATCTATAATAATATTTTTAACTTATCATTCCGAGAGTGGGATGGATGCGATTCACAGAATTTTTCTTATACAAAAACGTGAAACTGAATGCTTTTTATTTTTTTATTTTAGTCGTAGCCGATACATTCGCTATTTTAATTGTTGCTAGTTATTTTGGTGAATATCAATTTTTGTTAATTTCGTCGGATAAAGTAAGAAGAAGAAAAATAATATTTTATTCTAAAATAAATATATATTTTGTAGGATTCACAATCTCCATGGCCAATAATACGTGGAGATCATCCAGCTCGAGCATTTTTTGATGGCAAATCTTCTTCATTATCATATAATATTGAATTAGATTATGTCCAATTATTTCATCGACCATTAAATGATTTTTTAACAGCAATATGTACATTATTTGCTACATATACCGTTTTTGAAATAACTTATGGTAAACTTGAAATGACATTATCATTTATTGATTGTTTACTTCGAGATAATGCACATTCATCGACACGTTCACCACAAGTACATGAATTAATCAATGAACTCATTTCTATGAAATAAAAAAAAAAAAACGAGAGAAAATAGTTGAGAATGATTTTGTTTTTGTTTTTGTTTTTTACAATCATCTCATGCAGTATGTATATCTGTATATATCTGAATATATTTGTTTCGTCATTTGAAAATCAACGAAAAAAAAAAAGAAAACATAACATCAAAGAAATAGGAATTATTAATCTTTTAAACGATAAATTAATATAATAGCAATAAAATAAAGAATACTGATAATAAAACCAAATAATATTCCAATTAAACGTAATAGATTACAATCATGTGTAACATGAATTATTTTTTGAGATGGATTAATATCATGTTGAGTTATAACATGACCATCGGATGAATTAATAATAGCATATAATGTAAAACAAGATGCAAGAAGAAATGCAATAGATAGAAGGATATATAATATTAAGATAGATTTTTTAGCTTGAGGATATTTTGAACCAAATAAACGGTTAATAAAAAAATAAATTTCAAATGAAAATGATATCCAGATTAGTATATAATAGAAAAGGATGGATTGATGGTTAAAACCAAGAAATTCATTGAGATATGAATTGCAAGAAGTGAGTTTTATTTCAGCAAAGATTAATAGGAGAATTAGACAAATAAATCGAATAGTATGTATGATACCAAATGGTTGTGTGAAATAATTTTTCGACATAATCGGTTGTCAATTGAAAATCAATTGATAGGAGTGCGCACTTTTTCTTTTATTTTAATTAAGAGAAGGAAAAACAGATTCACAATGAATATTAACTATGTCAAAAATCAAAAAGGTTTATTACATCTTAGCCGACTTATTATTCTTATGATTTGTATTATTTATATTAATATTTTATCCTGTGGTCAAAATGCATTTGGTGGTCATGCGAATGTTAATTCAACATCAGATAGTGAATTTATTCATATTAGTAAATATTCATTATGTTTTAGTTATGTGGGTTGCATTGGGAATAGATGGTTTTGTTTTCTTCAGTCGAATATTTGAACAAGATGATGGAACAAGTGAAACATCTATATTAATTGATGCAGCATTAGGTCTTATCTATTTTGTTGCGTTTGTTATTTTACTTGTTTCGTGGATAAAATGTTCAGATACACAAACGTTATTTTGTAATGGTAATTACAAGTGTATTGTTCATATTTTACCTACTCTTGCTGCTCTTACTCTAACAATACTTTATATTTATCATGATGTTCGACGTTCTATTCGAAAGTTAAATTCCATATAAAACAAAAAGAAACTATTCAAATATGTTATCAAAATATTCCATATTTATATTATATTTTTGTTTCTTTCTTAACATGAATCATTAATAAAAAACAATAACTGTATTTTCATCTCCTTAAGACTATTTTTCTAAATCAATCAAGACTATTAATACTGTTTCTTCCACCGTTTTTTATTTTCACCTTCTATCAAGAAAAAAAAATCACATCCGAATCTATACATTTACATTTCTCACCTACTAAAAACACCTGTTCAATACTGTACATTAAAATCGTTAAGCTAAAAACCGGAGAAGCAAAAATAACGAATCATTAAAGTAATCAAAAAGATAAATAATAATAATAAGAGATGTAAAAAAAAAGATTAAATCTTCGAAGACAAAAAATAGATCATTGATTATCATTAGTTGCTAATCGAATACACTCATCTGGTGCACGTTCAGGTGCTAAAATAACAAAAAAAAATAATATTGAAAAAAATCTTAAATATAATTTACCTGTAATTAATGATGTTGTTCGTCCAATATCTACTACTGCTTGCGTAGCTGATTGACGTAATTGTCCAAGACTAAGAGAATGATTTTTCCATTCATTTAATGAACGTATAAAATCTTCCGATGATTCACATGTAACAGTATTTTGAAATGTATCAAACATACGTTGAAGTATAAGTGAATAAGGATAGAAAAGCCAATTTTTTCGTGTACGATCAGCAATATATGCGCGAAAAAGAGCGTTTGATGCCTCACGTGATCGTCGTGCTGTTGATACTGTTGGAATACCATCAACAGGTAAACTTGTTTGATATTGAGATATTTTATATTGTAATTGTTCTTGTTCATGTTGTAATAATTCAACTTCATCTTTCATTTTATCGCGTAATTGAATAACTCGTTGAATATGATGTGCAGCTAAGATAAATAATAATTATTTGAAAATAATACAAAAGAAAAAAGAATACTTACTACATTCAAGCATTTGAGCTTTACTTATTTTTGCATTTACTGGATCATTAAGTTCAGGAATTAATGTACGAAGACTTTCAAAACCGTTCTATAAAAAAATATTCAAACTTGTTTTTCTATTGTAAAAGAAATGATTTACTTTTATATTACGACGACGTTTACTTTCAGCATTTGAGTTTGATAATGTAGATGTTTCCATTAGCTAGAAAATAAGTCAATATACTATCTTCTATATATATTTAAATATAATAAAGTATTACCATATCATTATTTAAGTATGACATATTTTCAGGTGTTGATATACTATGTTTATTTGTTAATAAAGATGATGCTGTAGAATATTCTTGTGGAATATTCAAAGGCATATCTGCCGAACCAATAATAGACGCAGAACGTTGTGTTTTAGCCTTACGAGTTAATGGAAAAGTTAACATCGTTTGATTTGGATTTGGCATCTGTTATAGAGAGACAAATTTTTTTAATTATAAAAAATAAATCTTGCTTTAAAATTTACTTGAATAGGACTATGACTATTACTATTTACTGTTCCTAATCGTTTAGTTTGCGTTTTTTTCTGTGCAGGTTTTCTTGTATTTCTAACTGATTTAGTTTGTTTTTCCTTTGATATAGTACTTGGTGATACAGATTGTTCTATTAATGGTGAACGTTTTTGATGAAGAAGGTTGACAAGTGTTGATGATGGAGATGATTTATTTATCATGGTTGATAAATAAGTTGAAGGTGTTTGTGGTGTATTTATCATAATATTTGTTGGTGATGATGATGATGATGATGATGATGATATTAATTGAGTAATATTTTTATCGTTACCAATTGGTTTTGATAATGTTGATGGTGAATATGTATCAAATGGAAGTGTTTGTGGTGTTAATGGTTCATAATGATTGTTATTATAAATATTCATTTGATTTAAATTGTTAACATTTATCTATTCAATAGGAAAAGAACATGCGAATGTAGAAAAATAAATAAAAGATGTACATGAGAATTATTTTGATTTAGAAGATTTTTTTGATGTACAATTGAAAGAGTTGATCGATCATTAGGTGGAGAAACTAATGTTGGAAAATGATGTAAATTTTGTTGTGTTTGTGTTGATAGATTTAATGTATAAGGTGTTTGTGGTTGATAATGTTGTAATGTTGGTAACTAACGAAAGAAATAAAATATATTAATTTTCTCAATGCCTGTAAATAGCGGCGGCGCCAGGAATCTTGACTAGGGTGGGCTCAGGCCTAATAAATTTCAAACAGGGTGGGCTGAGATAGAATACCATTGGTTTTTTTTAAATTTGAAAAAAATTTCATGGTGGGCTCAAACAATTTCAGGGAAGGCTGAGCCCACCCTTGGCGCCGCCACTAGCTGTAAATTATAAAATTACTGCTGTAGTAGTCCGTTCATGTTTTAATACTATATGTCATTTATCAAAATTGTCTTATTTTATTTTAAAATATATGACTCATTCTCATTAGCACTATAATCTTCGTTAAGTTCTGGATTCAATGATCTATAAGAGTAAAAGGGAAGAGCTCTTTCTTTGAAAATACCTGGGTAAGTTTAGATCTGATTTGAATTTTTTTCCGTTCTGAGGGTGTGGCTTCTTCATATTGTGGATGTGTCCGTCTGTCTAACAGTGCTTGTCATCTCTCTCTCAGGAATACATAATATTTCGGATTAATATCAATTCTAGATGTTACACGATTAGATTTTATATCAAAAAATATCTTACTGAATCATTATGACATCTCATATTGAACATATCATCTAAAATATAAATAAAACTATTGATCAATCATTTTAAAATTCATCTTCTTTTTTTTACGATTTATTGGTTGTTGTTCGAAATCATCGAATAAAGAATTAAAATCAAAATGATATTGACCCATAACAGGTTGATATAAATCTGGATTTCCACCAAGACCTAGAAAAAATAAATATTTAATCAAGATTATCAATAGGACACTTTTTCTTCTAGGTATTAAATAACAAACAGTTTCATACAAAACAAAAAACAACAGGTTATAAAGCTGGTATCACATAACCACAAAAATAAAGGAATATTAAAAGCAATTAGACTATATTTATATATATATATATATGGAAATTCGGGTTTTCTACATATCGATAAATCGTATGAGCATTGACAAATAAGAATTATATACGCGCAAGTCATTTACAAACTAATCTTATTAGACAGTAACAAAAAGTACTGTTTTATATACATAAATATATATTGATAGCTACGTATATATATATATATGCATTTACCTGAGAGTGGATTGTCTAAGTAAAAATAAAATAAAAATAAACTGACTATCACCATTCAAAAACAAAATATTAAGACTAGACATACCACCATCTTTATCATTGAATATATTTGTTGTTGAAAAAAGTAATTGATCTTCAATTAAATCAAATTCTTCAAAAAGATTATATGGTTCAGGTGGTGGTGTTGCAATACGACGAAAATTTGGATTAATCTTTGGTGTATGAATTTCTCCAACATTTCCCAAAAGACTTTTCATTTCTTCACTCTAAAATTTTATATTCAATTTTAGAAGAAATAAAAAACAACAACAACAAGTACCGTTATATCATTTTCAAATTTTCTTAATGCTATTTTTGAACTTTGTCTCCATTTGATATATTCACCTTTTAAACTATTGATTATTTGTTGTTTAAATTGTTGAGTTAATGGTGTCTATTAAAAATAAAGACAAATAATTTTCATTAGAATATAATTATAATTATACAGGTAATGTTTGAGTTGTATCTAATGGAGAAACAAATTGACAAACAACAGTATTTCGATTTAAAATATCTGAATAAAATTTATATAAACATTAAGATTAGAAAGTTTTTAATTGAAATTACATTGTTGATGCCATGTTCGCCAAATAACATTATTTAAACGAATTTTATCTTGACATTCAATACGTGATCCACGAAAATTTTTCCATTTTGGTGATGTTAAATTCGATCTAAATAAAAAGTAACATAAGATTTCGTATAGAATTAAAAAAATTTTACCTATATACATTGTTAAAAACACGTAGAAAAGAATATAAACTATTAAATTGACCATTTGCTTCTGTTCGTCGTTCTGGTTCACCTCGTGGTCCATCATTAAGAAAAGGTAAACCTTGTGCAGTGGGAATCGGTGATGGGCATGGTACATCAATTGGCTAGAAAAATATTATCATAGAAAATAATATTTTTATAAAAAATAATGAATTTACTTCTGGATCATTCTCTATACTTGATGTCATAAATTGACCTGAATATAGAGGATGTTTGACTTCTTTTCGATTTCCATTTGAACGTGCAGTTGGTTCTAGTTTTATTCTTTTTACACTGCGAGACATGTATATATTTTAATGCAAAAATTTCGTATTATTCGTTTAAAAATCTAAAAAAACAAATAGAACAAATGGTATAATAACTATAGCTTCCTTCCTTTCCCTTTGTAAACTAACTTATCAACTTATGAAAAGTCGATCAAAGCGACACCAATTGATAAATTCTGAATGGTTTATTTATTTCATCCATTCATTTTTAGCTCGAACTACGTCATATCTTCGATTTAGTGATCCAAACAAAATGGTACTTATCATATGACACGCGGGGGTAGAATAGAATGTACTCAACAACTACAGAACTACTCTATCGGATAACTAAATTATAACTGTATATAAGGGAGAAAAAACACATTCTTATCTTACATATTATTCCGCTATGATTTTCTCTTCCATGATAAATAAAATTCATTCTAATGTTTGTCATAAATTCTCTGGACATTTTGAAATTACTATCAGATAACATAATATATACACGTATTTGTATTTCTAAAGTTATGCAAATAATAATAAAGTATTATATAATAGAAATTCAATTTACTCACAGATTTTCCATTGGTGACTAATATTCCAACTGGTGGGGGTGTGGTCGAGATGGAAGGAACACACCCCCTTTAGTACTGTTCCTGTTCTAAAATCTCTTCTCTCATCAAACACATAGTTATATTTAAGTCAGTGATGTCAACTGTCATAGTTGGAAAACCGGAATTTTAATATGAAATTCCGGAAAGGTTTTTAACAGTTAAGTTCTACCGGCTAAAATAAGTTTCTCAAAATTTTGTTCTCGATTGTACCACTTATTATTTAAAAAGACACATGTTTCTATATATCAAAAGAAAATCAACATCAAAATTCAAAATATAACAAACTAAATATATAAGAACTATAAGCCACTGAGTCGCTGTCAAATAAAAAATTGTTTTTGAGTTTTAATAAATAGGTAAAATTTAATTCAATAAAAGTCATCTGAAATCCGGAAAAAGTAGGACAATCTGGAATTTTTCTGGAAAAATCGGAAGAGTTGGCAACACTGATTTAACTATAATTAATAATGTTTGCAAATTACTATTTGTTATAAATTTGAAGAATATCTATACAGTTATCTATTATACAAATGATTACGTTGCAGCGTATTACATTCAATGTCATAAAATAGAACTAAAAGTATGTTAGAATAAGTTCAAAAGAACATCTTTTATATAAAAACAAATATTGCGAATACTTATTCGTATATTGACATCTTTATTTAATACAACAATTCGATCACTAAGAAATAGATATGAGATTTTTAAAATAGTTTAATGTTACAATCTATTACTGACTACTGTTAAGATTTATTTTATCTTGCCTCTCGATCGACATCTGATGCACTTTTATCAAGCACTACAAATCAACGAACATTGAGATTTAGTTAGAACACTACTCATTTCAAATATACTAAAATCAATTATAAGACAGTATGTATAACGGAGCTAAAATAATAACATCGAACATATTTCCTACTGTAAATAATTAGATGAAAGTGATGAACTTGAACTATTAAAAGTCAAAAGTATATACATATATACATTTATGATAAAAGGAAATTTTTATCTTCAGATCTATCATATTTATAAAAGAATAGAGTACAAATGTGAAGTAGTACTACTAGCTATAAGATGTAACAAAGACATTTAAATATGATTATACTGATAACAGAATATACAAGGATGAATTTATTCGTTCACATTAATATAATGATCAGCGTTCGTTCGATGAAGTAAATTAATTCTAAAGATCAATTAACTGTTAAAATATTTTATTTCATCATCGAATTTTTAAAACATTCATAATTAATATAATCATTCTATCTTAATCTTTGCAAATTTTACATGTGTAATATATAAATCGAAAATGATGTCACTAGTTGACAGTTTATTGTAAAATATGGATTAATATTCTGTAATTGGTTTGTTATTTGTTAAAATATTTGGTTTATTATTTCTTATCGTATTTTGCAAAATAATAATGATGATTTTTATTGAAACGTATTGACCTTTCGATTTTTTATTAATCGAGATTTTTTAGCGTAGTGAAAAAACTATTATCAATTTCTTTTTGTCTATTTTTATCTATTAAAGTACGCTTATCAAAAAACTAAGTGTGATCAAAAAAACTTAACAATTATCATCTTCAATTTCTTTTTTTGTGCCTTATTTAAATTTGATAGCATATCTTACTTTATAAATATGAAAGGAAGTTCGATATTGTTCTATTTCTTTTCTCAATGTCTATTTTATTTCGTTTACATTATCTATCAAAATGTTGCAGACATACATTTACCTACATGTCAACTACAACACGAATTATTGATGGCAAAGAAATTGCCAAGTAAGTTCAAAAAAAAAAATTTGTTCGATTAAATATTTAAATATATAATTTAGAAATATACGTGATAAATGTCGATTAATGATTGATGATTTACGTAAACAACAGAATGATTTTAAACCCGGTTTTGCTGTTGTTCAAGTTGGTAATCGAGAAGATTCAAATGTTTATATAAGACATAAATTAAAAGCAGCAGAAGAAATTGGTATTGATGCTCGTCTTGTTCGTCTAGATTCTTCAACAACAGAACGACAAGTTTGTTTAGAAAAAATCTTTTTCTATTTTATAATATTTATCTTTTTTAGTTAGTTCAACAAATTGAAGATTTAAATAATGATCCAACAATACATGGTATTATTGTTCAATTACCATTTGATTCTGTTCAAACAATTGATGCTAATCGTATTGCAAATACTGTTTCACCAGATAAAGATATTGATGGGTAAAGACGAAAAGAAAAAGTTTAGTTTTTTATTTTCATATTAAATTCTTTAAATAGATTATCAGATCTTAATGCAGGACTTTTATCACATGGAAATTTAGATAAATGTTTTGTTCCATGTACACCAAATGGTTGTTTAGAATTGATAAAATCAACAGGTAGAATTAATAGAAGAAAAACGTTTTTATCTATTAAAGATGTCTTTTTGATTAGGTACACAAATTGAAGGTGCAACAGCTGTTGTTGTTGGAAGAAGTAAAATAGTTGGTACACCAATGTTTGAATTACTTAAACATCATAGTGCAACTGTAACAATATGTCATTCAAAGACAAAAAATATTCAAGATATTGTATGAATATTAAAAAAAGACTTTAGTTTTAGAAAAACGAAAATTTTGTTTTTTTTTCATTTTAGATAAAACAAGCTGAAATTGTTATTGCTTGTTTGGGTAAACCAAAATTTATTCAAGGTTCATGGCTTAAAGAAAATGCTGTAGTTATTGATTGTGGTATTACATCTATGCAAGGTATTTAATACATCGGATTCGATTTATAATTTTAAAACTACGAATAATTTTAGGTGATAATGGTAAAACACGTCTATTCGGTGATGTTGATTTTGAATCATGTCAAGGCATTGCTTCATGGATAACTCCTGTTCCCGGTGGTGTTGGTCCGATGACAGTCGCTTTACTTATGTAAGCTTTTCTATATTGAAAAAAAACCTAATCTTTGAAAACTATTTTTCTTTATTCACAGGCAAAATACACTTACGGCTGCACAACGCTATCTAAATACTTATTCTCCATTACAATGGAATTCTATGACTTATTTACCGCTTGCACTTGAAGCACCTGTTCCATCTGATTTGGAGATTGCAAAAAAACAAATTCCAAAAGATATTCAACAATTAGCACGTGAAATTCATTTACATAATAATGAATTGGAATTATATGGAACAAAGAAAGCAAAAATAAAACTTAACGTACTTGAACGTTTACGAAATGCACCAAATGGAAAATATGTTGTCGTATCTGGTATAACACCAACACCATTAGGTAAATAGCAATAAAAATCTCGCTTCAGATAAAATCATTTTGATTCTTTTTTTTTTTAAGGTGAAGGTAAAAGTACAACAGCAATTGGTCTTTGTCAAGCACTTGGTGCACATTTAAAAAAGAATGTTATTGGTTGTTTACGTCAACCTAGTCAAGGACCAACATTTGGTAGATATTTATATCTAGTTATAATCATCAATAAATATTGTTTTTTGTTTTAATTAGGTATCAAAGGTGGCGCAGCGGGTGGTGGTTATTCACAAGTTATTCCTATGGAAGAATTTAATTTACATTTAACTGGTGATATACATGCAATAACAGCTGCAAATAATCTATTAGCAGCACAAATTGATGCTCGAATGTTTCATGAAAATACTCAAAATGATCAACAATTATTTAATCGTCTTGTACCAACAATAGATAGTAAACGAAAATTTTCACCTATTCAACAAAAACGTTTAAATAAATTAAAAATTAATAAAACTGATCCAATGACATTAACTACAGATGAAATTACAGCATTTGTTCGTTTAAATATTGATCCATCAACAATAACATGGCAACGTGTTGTTGATACAAATGGTAAAATTTTATAGGAAATGAAAAGATAAAGTTATGTTTATTTTCTATTTAGATCGTTTCTTACGTAAAATAACAATTGGACAAGCAGCAACAGAAAAAAATTTTACACGAGAAACAAATTTTGATATAACTGTTGCAAGTGAAATAATGGCTGTTCTAGCATTAACAAGTTCATTGGGTGATTTACGTGAACGATTAGGTAAAATGGTTGTTGCATCTAGTCGAGATGGTGTACCTATTACAGCTGATGATCTTGGTGTTGGTGGAGCATTAGCTGTACTTATGCGTGATGCAAGTATGTCATTTTCTTATTCATTTAACTGATAGAAAAAATAAAATGTACTTTAGTTAAACCAACATTAATGCAAACATTGGAAGGCACACCTATTCTTGTGCATGCAGGACCATTTGCAAATATTGCACATGGAAATTCATCGATTTTAGCTGATCAAATAGGCTTAAAATTAGTTGGAGCTGATGGATATATTGGTATGTATGAAGAAAATATATCTTATTTAGTGAAGCTAGTCGAGATAATGACAAGCTACAAAAAACATGAT